TACTTTTATTCTGGTGAATCTAAAAGTAGGCTTTCAAAGTGGTTTTCTATTGTAGTTTAGCCAAACAAGTCTCCGTGAAGGCAGTGGGGAAAATTTGGCTTTGAATCTTTAACATTTCTTTGAACACTTACCCCATAATGCTCGTTTTAGAAAGCAAGTTGTATAGCTGTCCATCATGTTAATGTGGCTTTTTAATAAAGGCATCTTATTTTGTACTTTTAAGTTAATTTGGAATATGAAATTTTAGACATTTTTGTATTTTGGTGACATGGCTCAATTGTGATTTTGAATCTGACTAATGCAAAAGGTGAATTTAGCCTGAGCTCATAATCAAAATCATTGAAAAAAAGAAATGAGAATCTAATAGATTAATTCTGCAAGTTTGTTAGCTTTAAAACCTTTCTTTGTTTTTTTTTTTTTTTAGAAAAGAAAAAAAAAGTCTGCTAATATATTTTAGCTGTATTTGGATATAATTTCATTTGAAATAAAATTTTAAAAGAGTATTTTGTATGCAGACCTTATCTTCCTACCTCCACCTATTTCTCACATATTGTTAGTCAGCACTTCCAGTGTGTCTGGCAAAACCTGCTGAAAAAACACCAGTTGAATTCCTTTTCAGATGGGCAACACACTTAGTATTTTGCTGTGGGTCATTCATTTGTGAGACCAGAAGAGCCACCAGAAGCACAATGAAGAGCCTTTCAAATACTGAGCTAGTGCGCTCCATAGAGTCATTGAGAAAAACTGTAATGATCTGACAGTATTCTTTTACATAGAAATATGAATATATAATTATTTTTTTAAAGTTACATCAGCTCCTTAACCATATCATAACAAGATTTGCCTTCCTGTACACGAATGTTTTAACTGTGTTTCAGAGCACTTAGTGTAGTGGTCCTCATGGGCTTGTCACATACTTTGTGACACTGTGAAAGCCTGTTTTTAGTTCCCTTGCAAAGGCCAGAAAGCTTTTGTGGTCTTCTGGCCTGGACATTTCGATGCTACAATACGTTTTCCTGGCATACTGATTAGTGAGGTGACTGAGAACTCAAAACTGAACAACATTCTCAACTGTATTTAAGCATAGTACCTGCTAGCAACATTGTTCTTGGTTTTACTTGCCAGCGAGGTTGCTTTTTCTCATATCTATATACATAAAATTATGCAATACACAAATACACATACACATATATATATATTTATATATTATAGTAAGTAAGAGAGAGTTGTAGATATAGCTAACTCCTAAGAGCTGTAAGTCCTTAAATGAGGCAAAAGGGTATTTGGTGGCTTGGTAACTATCAAACTCTAGATATCTAAATACATGAATTACTTTTTAAAATTTTTTTCCTAATAGCTGTAAAGTGATAGCTGATGATTACAAATGCAGCATTTAATCATAAAACAGTCAGATGCTTCAGAAAATTAACCTGTGGTAAGCAGGGCCTGCGAAGGTGCACATAATGCTCCTTTAGAAATAAATGTGTTGGGAAACCAAGCAGTGAGGCTGGAAGAACCTGAGCAGTATCCAACAGCAAAGCCCAGGGCCCAGGCCATTTGCTTTAACAGTAAAGAAATAAATATCTTGACCAATGCTACAAGAAAGTAATTCTCCATGTGACTCTCTAAGGAATTTCACAGGTATGAGGAATAGTGATTTCACAAGTGCTGGAAACACTAAGACCTGGGCTGAATGTGGGCAGGTGATTCTAACACCACTTACCTCCACTTGACCATGTGGAAGCAGGTACAGCAACAATCCTGGTTCTTAGGAGGAACCCAGGACACGTTTATCCCTGGGCTTAGATTTGTATGGAGATGGCTCAAACCACCCTGAACTGCTTGCATGCAAGCCTAGCAGCCTGGCTAGTTGCACGTTTCATCAGAGTGTGAGCAAGGCTGTTGTGTTTCTGTTGAGGCCAGTGAGGACTGTCTGACCTTCCTTCTGATAATTAGGTGGTCTCCTATTTGACTTTGGGGAGAAGTTCGTTCTTGCATCAGGAGTAGCAATGAATGTCTGTTGAGGCCAGTGAGGACTGTCTGACCTTCCTTCTGATAGTTTGGTGGTCTCCTATTTGACTTTGAGGAGAAGTTCGTTGCTGTATCAGGGAAAAGAGATAGGAGTAGCAATGAATGGCTTATCAGCAAAGACAACAGGTAAGCAGCCCATCCCAGCAATCCTCCATGCTCTTTCTAGATACACTCAGTGAAGTTAAGATATCTCACACACCCTCTGATGCCAAACTCTGTCCTAGCACTCACTTATTCTAGCATCTGCCACCTAAATATCCTACCTATGCACCTCCTTCTTGTTCCAAGTGCTGCCCTGCACAATCTGCAGCCCTCTTTGCTTCTTGAGGATAAATGGATTTTATTATAAGCTGAAATATGTGCAGCCAATTCTGTTTTAACACTTTTAAATCAATTCTTGGGCTTGGAAAGCACAATCATGAGATTTTAATTTATCCAGAGCCCCCCATGATCTGTTTGAAGATTGTGTGAGGAAAGACAAGATATATTTGTCCTGCATTTAAAGCATCGGACAAAGATTTTGGTAATCTGCTGTTGTGTGTGTGTGTGTGGTCTGGACAGCCTTCTGTAACCTGAGGTAAATCGCTGAACTTCTGTGCTTCTATCCTCCACCCATGAAGTGACAATTGCTTCTATCCTTTCTCTGCCTACTTGAGCTGCACTGCCCCTTGCTATATGGTTGCACAAGGCCTGTCCTAGCGCAGTCGCTTCTTGTTGCCACTGTCCTGTGCACAGTGATCACGATGCAGAGCTGCCGCAGTTACCAGAGCAAGCAGACGTGCTCAGGGGAGGTAGCAACAGGGCAACTACGGTGCTAGCAGCTCCCTGCAGACTCGTGGAATCTGCGCTACTCACGCACTGGTGCGGCTCCACGGATGGTAGTGACGGGCAGCAAAGAAAGGGGCTGCAGCCAGCTTGGCAGAGCAGTAAAGATTTCACAACCCAACTCAGTGCCAGCAAAAGTAAAACCGCATAGTTCTAGGTTGCTGGTCAGATCACTCAGTATTCATATTTGCACCTGTACTAGAGCCATATGAGTTCTTCTCCAGAACAGGAGCAGCTACTCTAGGGTTAACAAGTGGTAGGAGAGAACAAATTTCAGCTCTGTTGAAAAGCCAGCAGTGAAATCCTCAGGTTCCTCTTTACTTGGACCACAGAAAGTGAGAATGATTGCTCTTAGTTTGTCAACTTTTCTGATCTCCTCTGTCCTCAAACTTTCCTGATGCTGTTGGTAAAGCCAACTCTCTGCTCACTCTTTCTTGAAAGGAAGTAGGTAGTTTTCTGGGGTACCTAAAGGCTGTGGCTATTGATAGTTTATCGGATCTTTGTTCTACTGCCACTGATTTGTACTGGGTAACAGCCATGCACTGATACAATTTTAATCCAGAGATCTACTGCTAAATACATGAACTGTGAGGAAGAGCCAGCTGTCATCAGAAGGAAGTGTTAAAATAATTGCTGAATATCTTGGTTGTTTTGAAGCTTTGGGTTTCACATTTAATGTTCTCTCCACTGTTGAAGTCTCCTGGCTGCTGCTTTTGGTTTCATGTAAAAGGAAGAATGCTAAATGCTTGGAGTTAGGGAATGCATGGTCATTGTAAATAGTTGTATCTGAACTTTGTTTTACCAGAGATCTAGAACGCTCTGGAAGTTGTAGGCTTTATGTGTTGGTCTGTCGGGCCCTCATTCAGTGCTCAGCTAGGACTCCAAGCTCAGTGATCGGATGGCAGAGCGGTGTTGCTTCTCTGAGGGCTTCCACGTGGATTTGTGCAGACATGAGACCTCACAGGTGTCTGTGGTCCTGAGCAGCAGGGCTAGATGCTCAAGTGAGACTCAACAGGAAAGGTTTCCAAGACTTAGCAAGAAACTTTAGTGGAGTGACCTGCAGTTTCAGAGGCCTCCTATCAATGAATAGGATGAAAACATTTTCCTCTTTGAAGGTCTCTGATGCTTCCTTTGAAGATCCAGATTGGGCTGAATGTCCTCAGACACTGGGTAAGTATCATATTACTCACCATTTGAGTTCCAAAGACCTTGTCTCATACAGAATTCCTTAGTCTGTTTCAGGTTATGCTATGTCCATACTTATTTTTCTCCATACATTTCCTCTTCTTAAAGT